CTGAATATTTTATGTCTTCATTCAGAAGCATGACCCTTTTTTAGGATTTATGTTGGAAAATGCTGCAAGCAGCTCTTGGAAGTGCTAAATGACAAAAGCCTACTAAGAAACAGAAGTGCCATGTTTTCGTACCCCGTAACTGTTTAGCTAGGTGTTAGACAGTTACCTGGCTCCCCCTACCCCTCTTAAAAAGGTGTCATTCACAGTCTCACCGGGGACTGGGATCATGGAGCCAAAGCCAGTGCTGATTCATCATGACCTCCAAACAGCTAGCAGAGGTCCCCTGGCACACTATCTGCTCTTGAAAGCTGTTCCATCCATGTGAAATCCCAAGAGACCGAACGCGTGCAGACACAGTGATGATATCCCTTGCTATGCGGTCTCACCTCCTGTGGAAGGGGGTTCCCGGGAGCTTAGCACCAGCACTCATACGAGCCTTCCGTTTCATTTAAATTCTCCCTGTGATCCTTTCAGAATAACAGGATATAAGAAGGGGAGAGAACTTTCTCTGTCAAGTACTAACATGTCAGTCAGACCTGTCATAGCCAAAGACAGACTAGACATTCTCGAAATTATGTTTTTATTTGCCTTTTGTATAGGTAGTAATAAGTGTAGGAAATATATATTGAGCTTTTCTATGCATTTGACAAAGAAGAATTATCTTCTTTTGTCATTAAACCCTGGCATGTTCCACTTGCTAAATAAAGACTGCAATGGGAAACGAGAAGCAATAAAAATGTAAAATAATCTTTTGAAAAACAAAATGAACAAAAAACTTATTAGAAGAGCTGTATTTTCACTGCCTATTGCCTTCTCTTAAAGAGGCATCAGTCATTTACTGCACATTTTTTTCACCTTGCCTTAAACCTCCAAATGACAAGAGACAAAATAATTCTAAAAATCTCAGAAGAGTGAAAGAAAAGCTAGAATTTTTTAAAAAAGAAGACTCTTACTTCTCAGCAAATGCTTCTTGGAAGCTTCGCACTTTACCATAAAACAACAACAAAAAAGCACTAGAAATATACAAATGCATGGACACAATATCAGAGGAAGATGCACAGGAATTTCTTCAGTGAGTCTCAGAACACAGGAATGAGGATGAGAAGGGGAAGTAACAAAAAGGTAGGGAAGTTCCATGTGATCAATACTTTTGTTTCAGATCTCACATGGTTAAAAGCATGGTGCTTGCTTACCTTTCACAGCGTGGTCCCACGTACCCAGCTGGGCATTCATCACATATTAATCCACGACTTCGGTCAAAATGGCATGTCGGGCTAAAGCTGTATTGTTGATATTGGGTAAGAAGAGGGACAAGGAAGAAACATAAAGAAAAGATGGTTAGCAGCATAGCTCTCTTCCCACTTCGGATTTGCAAAACGGTGCTCAGGAAAAGTGATTCTGGTCTAGGACATGGGGCTTAAGTTTAACTCCAACAAATTGAATTTGGAATGACTCTGCTATTTCTGCAACACTGAATATAGAGTAACGGATGGCAGCATCCCAATAGCCTGTTATTACGGGACTTGAGCCTGCCACCGAGTGGTCTGGATACCATTAAAAAGGCAGGAATGTACAGCTGTTTGTTTGTGCCCCTGAGGGCCTGGCAAAACAATCTATGCCATAATGTGGCCCCTATATAAATCTTTCTGAAGGACAACTTATTTGAAAGCTCGGTTAACTTTGTGTATAATAGGCTGTGAAAGGAACCTGCTGAATAAGAAAAGGGAGGGGCAAAAAGGGAAATATCTGGTGCAGCTCCCAGAGAGTGCATCTGAGTAAATCGAGTGCCAGTGATCTCAAGCAACAGGCCAGACAGGCACGCTGAAGTTTAAGAATAGCTTGCAGAGTAGAAAGCTTTACCTCTTTGCTATGTTCTATTTATTTTTAGCTGGGGTTTTTTTATATATAAATAAGGATACTGTAGGCATTTGCAAGCTCCACCTCTGACGTCCATGTTTAACTCTGAAACGTGCTCCTCTGCTGCTTAGCATTTCGTTTTCCATAAGCTTTCTCCCTTAACACACTTTTGTGAGGAAACCTCCTGATAGTCAGAAAAATACCGCCCAGAAGAAAAGGCAACCTGTTCTATCATTCTGGAATGATTACTAAAGACAGAGACATATGAGCACCTTTATAGGGCCTCATCTAGATAACAGTAATCAATTCTGGTCAACCAAATAGAAAAATAGAAAAAAGGAAAAAAAATATAAAAGCATGGAAGCAGGTACATAGTGGGGTGACTATTCACAACAGGAAAACAAAACACCTATCTGAAAAGAAGACACTTTTTGTGACCTAGGAAAAGAGAAGTTGAGAAGGAATATAATTGCTCTAACAAAGACATCAGAAGAAAGGTATGTTCAAGGTAAAAATTCATGCTACAAAAATAACAACAAATATACATAATCCGACCTCAGATAAAGTAAAGCAGGATGTAAAATGAAAGTTTCTGGAAAATAATAGGCACAGGGAAGACAGAAAAGCTTAATTAGGATCATGTAATGTGATTACCTGCTGGCGACTGGACCCACTTCTCAGGAGTCATCCATCCTACAATCTGACCCCAGTTACTCTTTATTCTGTTTCTGTTATAGATAGTTTTCATATGTAAATACCCTGTCTGTCATAGGGCAAGTTATCCCACAGACATAGGAGATCAGTAAGAAATACGTAGGAAGACCAGGTCCAGGAAACATAGACAGGTATTGGGATTTTCCTCTGTCCCATAAAGATTATGATTGTGTTGTTTTGCAATATCATTCAATTAAGAATAGATTCACGAATGCATGAGGAGCCAGTTGAAGAAACAAGAATTGTTCATTCTATTTTTAAATAGCAATGAAAGCAATTTTCAACTGAAGCTCACATTATCATTGAATCTAATCAGCAGCACCTAACTTATTTCAAATAAGATCCTGCTTGTCAGTCCCAACCTCACTCTTTCTAACAGCTACAAGGGAAACTTTGTGGAGATGCTGTCACAGCTCATTATAGCATTGCACAAAATCGACTGTACCACAGTTCTATCAAGAGCTCTGAATTCAACTGCATAAATTTTAAAGATAATAATAATAAAGTATTTATTATTACTAAGCAATAATAACGAATAGCAGAATTTCCATGTTTTAAGGGTTATGCTCAGACCTAGCATCCTTTGATTCTTTCTCTGACTTCTCTCAACACTAAACATTAATATATTGAGAAATTCCCATTTGTGTACTATAAAGGAAATATGTGAGAGCAGGGTGAGGAAAGAAGACCTTATCTTCCTGATTATTAAGAATTTCATTACTCACTAGTGATAAATACTAATGAACAGAGCGTACTGATCTGTCAAAACAAGCTTCAAAAATCACAGCCCCTCTTGATTCATCATCACTCTTTCAGTTTTTACATAGGATAACATTAATACCAGTCACGACATGGGATAAATATGAATACACAGTATGGGTATATATGTGATAGGTCTATGTTTGGAGACAGGGCTTCCTAAAGGCTTACAAGTACGTTGTAGAAAACATCTCCTGGGAATAAGTTTGTAATTTTATTTAATTCCCCCCCAAAATATTATAATTCTGAGACCAACTCGAATTCCTAGTTCACATGCTATGAGTTTACTTGTGACCTTCCCAGGCTGAGTGAGGTATCTTCTATCTCCCATTTCCAATAATAAAACATTCCTCTCAGGGTCTTCATTACCCATATTAAATTTGTTGCCACTTCAAGAGAAAAGCAGTAATTATCCTAGACATCTACATTTGGTAGAAAGAATTATATAGTAGTATGTCTGGTAATTTCTACAGAAAAAAAACGTCAATTTATCTGAAACTCCCAAAAGACTAAGAATGTGACAACAGTTTGTAAGAGTGATGCATTAATGAGAAGAGATAAGACAAAGAAGTCAAGCGTACATTACATATGCCATTTATAATATGGGTATTGATCTCATTTGCATCATATAGGTACAAATACGGAGATATATGCAAAAAGTGGAAAATATAGCCCAGGATTCAGAAAACAAGCTTAGACAATTTTAGTTTCCTGATTGGGCCAAGTTTTCTTTTCTGACATATGGCAAGTCTTTTCACTGTTGTGCTTCAGACGGCAGTTTTATGATTGACTTCAATGATTGCATATGGAAAATGCTTCCATAAGGAAACAGGAGAGCGAATGAGCAGCAGTTAAATCAGCTCAAGTTAACTATAGAACAACACCGTCACCACCACATTTCTAAAATGGATAGAACAGCTCTCCTACACCTTATGTGGCATCACAAATAAAAAGATTCAGATGCTGCAAAATAAGTGATGGGAACCATGATAAACATCATAAAGAAATAAAACACTGCTATAAAAGACAAAACTAATTTCTTGATAGAAATATATCTCAGAGGTTCATTACATGGACAATATTGTCTACGCACCAGGAACTTGGTATTAAGCTTAGAGACCTACAGATGCCCTGTCATGCCATGTTAGGAACTAAATACGACAGGAATTAAAATCTATAGACAGCTATTTATAACCATTTGTACATAAATTAGTCACTTGTTAGGTTATTTAGAAACAACATGACATACACTACATCTCTACAATGACATGAGCTTGGTAGAAATTTTTTTATTTTTCATGTGAAGGATGCGTGAAGGAATCTGAATTGTTTACATATATTACCCCTAGCATACCAAACTCACTGCCAACTAAGTAAGAAAGAAAAATGAGTATTTTAACAGCCTTCAGGTAACACACTAAATCTTTAACCATCTCTTTTTTTCCTAATAAAGAAATTTAATAATTGGTCTAGAAACATAAAGTCATGAGAGTTTGAACCTTACAATGAGTTCTACAAAGGTTGAGGATGTTGGTCACAGTTTTGCTTTCACTCATTTTAGAAATAAGAAGCTATTGCACAATTCTAACGCAGGGCTAAATAGTAGGGTTCGGGAATCCCACAGTTTCACTGTTCAAGAACATTTATATACTGTATTTTGTACCTATATTTTCCAAGAAAACTATTAAAAAGGGGACTCTCTTGTTCAATTTCAAGAGGAAAGTAAAGCAGCCAGAACTCTGATGAATATGTAATAGAGGTCTCCAGGCATTTTGCCAATAAAAACCTAAATTCAATCTATTTGACTTGGTTTGTTGCACATCTGCACAAGATATAAATGTGATAGTGTTTTTTCCTGCTTTGTCAGTACAGTGTTCTCAAACAAGCGACAGAGAATTAATTAATTATGCAAGGAAATACTAACTACGTGAAAGCAATGAGGACATCAGAGGAGCCACTCCTGAGCAGCAGACATAATAAACCCATGTATATCTAATAAAACTAGTTGAAGGGCTGTGATAACAGGAAGACAGGCTCCCATTCCGCAATCCCCTGGAATTTCTGCTTCTAAGCACTTAGATTATTCCTGCCCTGATCAGTGCAACTTTAATAGGACACAATGCACCAACGTCAGCCTGAACTACTTAAGAGCAAAATCTGGTTCATCGGTGCCTTATGTTGGCACACTGCCATTCCGATGATGTTCTCTTCTTTACTTGAATCTTGCAGAGCTCCCTCTCTGTGCAGGTGGTAGCCACGCATTTTGCCCTGTGAACCTTAAGAAGTACTCTTTATACTCTTAAATAGTAAAGTTCAATTCATTGATGGAATCTGACTTCTGTTTTGGGGAAAAATAGGGTGAAATAGAAGATGCAGGGCTGAAGGTGGTGGTGGGGGGAAATTACTCCAGTGGATTTATCAGGTCTGTTGCCACTTAAAACTTTTAAGCTGTGCAAAGAGTTTGGGATAAGGCAACCTCTGCGCAGAGTTTACAATCTTCCAGTACAATCCTACAATCCTTCTGAAGTGCTTATGTGGACTAACCTTGATTCTTTTCAGAAGGGACCCACATCCAAATTGTGGCTGGAATTTGGTCAAGTGTTAGTTACCACTGCAAACATGTCAGACATGTACTCAACAGCTCCTGATCTTCTCAAACAATTATTGTATGGGTTGTACCACAGCAGCTCTTCTGTGTAATTCTTGCACCAGGGCTCCTTTTCTCTAAAGCCATACTGGATAGCATAAACCAAATGCACTAATTCAAACAAACACATAATTTCCATTTTTTATGTGCACAAGAGAAGCTAACCACACAAGATTCAGAACAGTTTTCTTCAACTACATCATGCCAAATGATTTTGGTATTGTTATTTTCCAGGTACTGCCTGGGCCAAACCAATGAAAAAAAGTTCAAGCCACTTGGTCTATTAAATTGTAGGTAGGAAGTAGTACAGGCAAGCTTCTGTAATCAAGGAAACATTTGTTCTTAGATCAGAGTTTTGATTAACTTTTCACTATTATTTTTATTTAATAAAACAAATTTGTAGTGATTATTCCAAGATAGGCTAACAAAATATTTTCACTTGCAAGATCTCAGGCTGAATTTACACTCCAAACAAATCAACATTATCACTGACTGTTGACTGGAAGAAAAGGAAAATTAAAAGCAGAAGAAATCACTATTTTATCTGATCAACATAATTTGATTTTAAATTCAATTATTATAAAATGCCCCACATCAAATCTGTAAATTCAGCTTTAAACTAGAAACAACTACTCTTAAGGAGTACAGAATAGCAAACTCATTATTGATTCAAAGAGCAGTCATCCAAATTCTGTGTTGTTCTTTCTACCCTAGTCTCATTCAGCTCTTGTCTTCATCTTTGCCTCTGTGAAGCTAAGCAGCCTGTACAATTTTAAAAAGACCATAAAAGTTTATATTGCAGAATATATTATTTGATTAAAACACAAAAAAATCTCAAGTGTACATGAAAAAGTATAAATGAAAAAGGTTAGGCAACTTAGTAAGTGAAAAAGTGTAATATGCAATAAACATATGTCTTACTTGTTAGAAGGTATATTTAGGGGGCAGGCACACAACTGACAGTCTTCAGCTGTCCCTTTAGTAGGATCACCATAGAAGCCAGGAAGACATCGATCACAATATGAACCACCTGTGTTGTGCTTGCAGTCCTAAACAGAAGATGAAAAGTACAAATTCACAATTAGAGAACTTACATATGGAAGGCCCTTGAAGGTCATTCACCTAGCCCATCCTCTCCACAGGACTACAACATGTATTCTAATTTTCTGCTGCTGGTTGAGGAATAGTTCTAGAGGTTACCTATCACAATCAGTGCTTCACACATGTCAGGTATCTGTGATCTTTTGGATCAGTCTTCTGTATGTAAAACAAAAAGAATATTTACCTGCAAATCTTTCTCTTTCCACCATACAACAGCCGCATTATTGTTTTAGCTTGCTTAAAGAAAAGCAACATTCAGAGAAGCACAAAACAGGTTTAGTATTGCAGTCTTGCAACAGGCCATATTTTGTGACAAACAGTTTTCAGATGTTGATCCCAGAAACACAGCTCAGGCTAGATAAATTATAAAAATGAATTATTACATTTCATGTTTAAGTGCATTAGCTTTTTTTGCAAGGTATGTGGCTAGCAGCATACTAAACATATTTGTGAACAGTAGCAAAGCCTGAATTACTTAATTAATACTTATTTGCTAGAATAGCACTCAGACTATTTTATGAGTAGAAACAAGGATGTGTATATTGTATATAAGGCCCTATCCAACAGTTTGTGTTCCTCTGTGTAACTGGCTTTCCTAATACAAGAGACAGTTTATCTGAGCATATGAAACATCCAACATAAAAATGGCAGCACTAGATCTGCATTTTTGCAGATATATAACCTATATATATGTATAAAACCTTTGGCCTGATCTCAAATTAAATGATCTTTGGCAGCACGGGAATTGGTTCTCTGAGAAAAGACATCCCATGGTGACTTGCAAGAACCAAATTTTAAAGAGTAATTACCCTTTCTACTCTTCTTCCCTCTCATGATATAGGATTTAGAAATTCTAAATAATTTGGCAGGATCCATGATAGGCTCAGAAAATTAGTTTTCTGGCTTAAACTCTTTCCTTTTTTTTTTTTTTTTTTTGCCACATTTTTAGCATACCACACTATTCCTTTCAGTCTTATTTGCCACAAGATACCCAAGCGTAGCCCTTTCACAGTGTAAAACCAGAGAAAGTGGGACAAATGGTTCTGGCTCTTAAATGCTGTCTTGATGTGCTTGGGTATAGACTGAAAAAGCATATGGCAACTTGAAAAGACCAAAATGAAAGCCATGAGAGAGATTTTATTTAATGGGGTGTGTTTTGATCTGATTTAGAAAATGGGCCAGATCAAATCTATAATCTGTTTCACCCAAGCTGCTGCTTAAGAACTCTTGAGTTTGTTTGTTTTTATAAGGTGTAGGTATTTCCACACATGATTGAATTTAAAATATTTTTAAGAACACTTCAAAATTGTTTTCTCATTTTAATAAGTCACGCATATGATACTGCATGATATTTGACAGCCTCACTGTCTGAAAGACATAATGTATCCTCAATAAAGGATTAAAAAAATAGCACTATTCTAAGGAACACTGATTTCTTCTTCACAGCTTTCCAGGATTACAATGATTTGTATGAGGTTTTTTTGCATTGTGCTCTGCATAGGCAGTACCATACATTTGGGCAGCTGAAAAAGCAGTCATGAGCGCACTGGAGTCAAAAGCATCTGTATCCAGAAATGTTTTTGCTATTTAAAGGGTGCATTCTTACTGCTTGTGTATACAATCAGCATATCTTTGAAATGAAAGCATTAGTCACAATATTATATTTTCACATATTTGGTAGATTGTGAGCTAATACCAACTACTGAGACTCTTAGTAAAATAAAATTATGGCTTTAGAACTATCAGCTGGGTCAAATTCTACTTCATTAGGTCATTTAAGTCCATATGATTGTTACTTCAAGTGCTGCCATTCAAAAAGAATCTACTGGCCACACTGAAAAAGTAGCTGGAAACATTAAGATATGCTTTTAAAAGAAGATGTGACAAAAATAATTTAAGTGTTTCAAAAGAAAAATCCTTTGCAATTCAAATTTTTTAAGGCATCATGTCAAATTATTTGTACTTTTTTCTGAAAAATAATGGATTGTTCTTTTGTGTTAAGTTTAGCTTTAAATATCCTCAGACATATCTTAATGTTTTTGAAGAATATGAACGGCTTATATGTCAAGGATGTTATTAAAGTGAGAGGAGCTAACACACTATTTTAAAGCTACACGTCTCTTACAGAGTAGCATTTGCAGCTTCTGCTTTTTTTTTTTAAGTAAAAAACCCAAAACCTTCCATTTTGTAGGAAATAATTTCATGTTACAAAGAGCTGACCTTCTTCTGTTTGGTCAATTATTTTCTGAAACTCTAACGTCAGTAATTTCCACGTACTGTGTCTAATTCTCCTCAATCCAGATCTGTGTATCCGCTTACTTCTTCACCATGAATAAATAAATTTAAGAACAAAAAATAAAAGAACCCCACACATATAGTACCAAAATCTGAGCATATGTTGCACTGTTCGAGTTTAGCTGAGAAATAACGATCTTGTGTGGTCCTATACTTTTCTCCCCGAGTCAGTCTGGATTTTGCAGGACAAAGAACGAGGATTATGTAGTACATAGATGTGACATAAGTGGCCTGTTCTCTTCAGTGATGCATTAGAATTTATACTAATTTGCCAAATTTTACGGAAATAGATGAGTTATTAGCTCTTCTAAAGAAATTATCAATACTCATGAAAAATTCGTGTTTTCTTCATATCAATTGGTTGAATCTGTTTGAAACTTGACGAATATACAGCAATGGTTTTGAGCATCATCTAGTTTGAGCAATGTCTAATTATACTGAGATTATTTCTTTCAAACATGCTTAAGTTTTAATTTCCTGTTCGTAGGAACATTTAATTATTTTGTGTCATGAGACTGGGTATAGAGGAGATCATGATCAACTGTCCCTAACCTGCTCAGTACATTGTATATGATTTCTTTTTATTGTCTTGGAAACATAATTTGCTCCAACACACTGATCTATTCCCTTGGAGATATAGTTTGTTCCAACACATTGATCTAGTGGTTTTGGTAAAATCAATGCCTTGTTCCATAGATCCATTGACTTAGTGGCCAGGAACAATTTTAAGCTCAAATCTTTATGCTTTCAAAATTCCAGGTATTGGATCTTGAGCTATTTTGAATACATCAATTTTCCGGGTGTCTTTTATCTCCAAACACCATTAAACTTCACTTAGACAACTTCTGAATAAGCAAGACTCTGGAATTTATTTTTGTCCAAAAGTTCATGTACGACTCAGACCTTGTTTCCCAAAGACTTTATTGCTGATGTCCTGGAGTGCGTTTTCCACCATTTCCCACCGAGCCAGCTCTCCCTGTCTTGGAAGAAACCACACGGAAATTTTTATGCCCAGTATCATGGAACCGTAAATTCACACTGAAATACACTCCTGCTTCGCTGCATATGCAGCTGAGCATATAGCAACATGGAAAGAAACATTCTGACTAGAAGGCTAGTGATGAAAATAAAACTTTAGTCAGGGCATATGACTGAGTCCAAGATAGTGCCTTTGGCACGCTGCTGCCGTTCCTCAGGATATCTGTCACAGAGACAACCAGGGAGGCTGCTAGTTTAAGCTCGTTAAAGAAAGCAGAAAGAGTGAGCCTGGGTGCTTATTTTAGTATATTCCCTGGCCATTTAGACCAGACAAAGGTATTGAGTCTTTGGGAGCATGAATATGCTCTTCTGGCATTTTCAAACTACTGTAATGTCAAGATTACACAGACAATTCCCTTTCCTGGTGTTACAAATGCAATCGGGACGTTGCAGAGGCTTTACGTAATTTTCTCCTGTGGCATAGCCTATACTGCATTCAGCCTGGGATCTGTCATTTTGTTACTGTGTATATGAAGATGGGTGAAGACATTTTGTCGCTCCCGTGATGAAGACTGTCTAAAGCAGATGTCCGCTAGCTCTGTCACTGGCCTCAATCTACATGGTATGTGCTGTTTACACACAAAGGAATAAAATACAAAACGGATGCCAAGGGGGACAGCCCCCTTAGCCATTTGAGCGTATCTTAGGGGAGAAAGATCTACTTTCTCTGGGCTTACTAATGGGAACGTAGTGTTCTGCAATCAATGAAACACCTTGAAATGTATTTGCTTTTCACAAGGTTTAGGTTTAACCAACCTCCTGAAGCTACCGTAAATGTGTGTGCGTGTAACGCTACAAAAGAGTATTTCTGAACGTTAGAACTTGCCCTATGTACCAAAGCAGTTATGTATATCACAATGGTAACGAGAATGATGTATCATGCAGCTCTATATGGTTGCTGTGGGGATCAAAGGGCTTTGCAGGTTACTGCAAGATATGCGTTAAGATGAGCTTTTTATACAGGCCTATGTCGAAGCAGATGATTTGAGCTTTTATCATGAGTCAAAAACATATTTCAGCTGCTTTTCAACTACATTTCAAAGCTGAGGAAGAGCAAAAAGAAGTATCATATCAGTAAATTAGGTGCCTAAATTGTCTGTTGTATTACTGAAAAAACACCATGAATAATAATAAGGCGGCCAAAAGGCTGTGTAAACCTCAATAGAAAGAATGCCTTTGATGTGAAACATTTCTCTTTTTCAGCATTCAGACTTCTCTCTCTTTCACTTCAAAAGGCTTATGATCCAAATTGAACAGCAGCATTTAATAGCCTGCATGGATACTAACCAATCTAACTTCACTTTCAGTTTTTTCAAAGTAAGCTGCAAGAAAATCCAGAACTGATTTTAAGCTCCCTGTGCGCCTCTTCTTTATAGGATGATCTAGCATAAGCTCAGACAGAACACATAAAATACAGAACGCTTAATAACGCATATAAATTAAAGTACATTTTCAACTAGTTATTTTCCACTTCCTTATCAGTGCTGTGTTATCAGTACACCAGCACCCTTAAAACATCAGAAGGGGGAGCTCTACTGTCTCAGTCAATAGTTCACATCAGCTGTAAAATGAAAAAGCACTACGATATGCAACTGTACCGCCTTCTCTCACATCCAGGCCGGAGCCATAGACAAAAATAAAGAGGGAACTCGTGCAAGGGCTAAAGCTTGAAGACAGATAAGCAAGCAACCTTGGAACTCATATCTGGCTATGCACCCCTAAGCAAAATAGTCAATAGTTATGATACACCTTAAACAGGATTCTCCGTTCCTTTTCTTTTCTGTTAATTGATTTTATCCCACACCAATGTTATAGACATCATAGCTGGAGGCTACAGTCGTTAATGCAATAAATTTTATCTTTGTCAAGAAATGCAAATCTGTATTACCCTTGTGATAAATATTTTCACTGCATCTAAGTGAAGGATTCAAAACACAACTGTCATGTCAGACATATTTTTCATCCTAGGTACTTCTTTAAGGCTTACAATATAATTAGATTGAGAATCATTTTAAGCTTCTATTCATGAAGAAGCAATTTGAAAAATTCACTGATCCACACATTAAGGATATCTTGTTTTGCATTGCAGTGCTATTAAACATCTTGTCTGGGCAAAACAGGAAGACCAGTGATAATTCTAAGTGCCAAACTACATTGCAAAAAGCCTGAATTTTCATTTTGGATTTTTCCCAGCATCTTTTTCTTAAGGAAATAAAAGGGAACATTTAGAAACATGCACAATACAGAGTCTGCTTGAAATTCTGCAGGGAAATGAGAGTATGATATCCCACTAAACTGGCACTGGCTCAAATTGTGTTTCTGCAAGACTAATGAAATGAGAAATGTTGTTTCAAGCTTCATGCCATGTCAGACAATATAAAACTAAAAATGCCCTTGAGTTAATCAGAACAGTCTATTCAGCATAATTCACCCACTCCAAAAGGCTACTGAAGGGGTCGGAAATAGTGGTGTGCTGGTAGGCTTTCTATGGAAAATATCACAGATTTAACTGCTGAATTAGGAGGTAACGACATAAAATCTCCATAGCTCCGAGCTGATTTAGCCAAAATCATATGCTTTTATTATTTTTTTAAAGTACAATTTATTAAGTGTTTCTTCCAGGAATTTAGATGAAGGAAGCCATTAACAATATCTTCTTGTCATACTAGAACAGAATTTACAAAGTTACCTGCTACATACTATAAATTAAATACACTGCAGGAGACAGATGGGAGGGGAAGAAAAATATCTCATGGAACAATATTGATATATATGCTGCTTTCTGCATACCATACTTATACTATTGATTCTATTTCAAAACATAAATCCTATGTGAATAAAAAATTCCTTTTGTTTAACCGTAGAAGCTACCATATCTTGGTGTGAGGGGATCCTTAACTTCATCAACAGTTCAACATACAGATCTCTCCTGTCAATCACTGGGTTTTTTCCTCTTTGAGTATTTCAGGTCTCAGAGGTTGTTAATTCAGTTGCACAGGTATATTGAACTGATGTTGACCATGTCCATCAAGTTTCCTGTAGTGACACTTACCAGGCATTCCCCTGTGATATCATCACACAATTCTGCATGACCAAAGCATGTACATGGTGCACAGACTCCACCAAAAATTGTGCCATTCACACGCCGATGTCGAGGCCAGCAAGACTGCAAGATAAATTAGATAAAAAGTTTAACTCTTGCTTGAACAGGGAACGGGACATCATTTTAAAAATATTGTTGAATTTGATACTTGCATACACAAAACCATATTTGTCAAATTAAAATACCAACAGTTCTCTAGAAATTTGTTCTTCCTGGTGCTATGGCTTTGCACTGACCTTAGCCTTACTGGCAGGTGTGAGATTAGAGGAAGCCTTAACTTGATCATTCTTCTGAAATGGTAAAATAAAGCAGAGAAATGAAGAACTGAAGTATGACAGCATCAAAGCAAGAGGTACAGATTGAAAAATAGCCAGAAGGCAAAACACTGAAGGAAAGAGAAGGAGGGAAGAAAACCCCAAAACAACAAACAACGTTTCTGGGAAGTTCAGCTGCAAAGAGCAATCAAAATACCATTTAGTCTTCCTTGTTTGGAGTCTTAACAGAAAGCTACTCTGAAATAAAGCATGGGCTGAAAACAAAGCCCTCCCTTTATTTACAAATTGTGCTTCTTAAATATAAGGTATAGTCATTTCCCTTTAACACGGTGCTCCAATTTTTTATTTTTTTGTTAAATTCAGATCAATATTAAATGCATGGCCAGTTTTTCCTTAGAAAAGGTGACATCGTACAACTGTGATACATCAGCAAAAATTCAGCTATTCAATTTCTTCATAATAAGATGTCAAGCGGCAGTCTTCCTTACTATATATCTCACAAATGGCTTTATAGTTTTTGCAAACTATCTTTCCTCAAAAAGAATGCTCATGTGATCTAAGGATTTTGCATAATATTAAAAAGTGCATGACAGACTGTTGACCTTCAAAAGTATCTGGCTAATACAAAGAGAAAGTTTGCTAGTGATAGAATACTCATTAAATAAAGAAAATCCCTTCCCCTTCACATACACTCTTCAAAAAGGTAACAAGAAGATTCTCTTTTATAAAAGTAGAGACAATGTCCCTTTTTGTCTTACTCCTACAAAACGTGAGAGTAATTTGAAAATGAATTGAAATGATTCTATTTTAAAAAAATCCAAAACCTGAGACATAAACCTTATTTTTCCTTCTTTTCATTCTAACAAAACCCATAAATACTAAAAATTAAAATTCCGAGTTATAAAATCTAGAAAAGAAAAACAGGTTAAAAAGAAATTGCCTATTTTATCTCTGTGGCATGAGGTGCAACTGCCTCAGCTTTTTCTGTATAAATCTATAAATCTTTTTCCTCTTTTGCTGATTCTGAAACAAGTGATCTTGTTCACAGGTATACATGATATTGCACAAGATAAGGCTCCAAAGGCCACTAATTCTAAGGACTTAGACATGGAATATCAACAGCAAGGCTTAGAACAGAACTAAAATAAAACTTTACAGATTGGGATAATAAGAAAAGAAATTATGTAAAATTCAGAAGTCAGGAAAGCTCTTGACCATCATAGTGATTCAATTTAAACACAATTTCTACCCCAGTAGAATAAAGAAGTAGATAGAAAGGGAACAAATCTGGTGAAGAAGAGCAATTAGATGTGAAGATGTTGACGAGTAAAGGCCAGAAGATTCACACGAGTAGAGCAAAGTAACTGTCACAAATTATTCCAATCTGTATTTGAAATTTAAAATTTCATCTGCTGTACCTATGCTTATGTTTGTTCATTTCTCAGACACGTGAGCAAAGACATTACAATTTACTTTGACTAGAATCTTATAGAAAATTAATTCCAAATTTGTGTAATGGAAGAATCTCATAAGAGACAGCATATTTTAAATGGGATTGGTTGTCTTCTGAAGACAGATCATGCCAAAACATTCACATCAAGAAAATAAAGTAAATAATGGTTGGGTTTAGTGCTGTGGCTTATATGCCAGGTATCACAACACCATTATGCAGGAAACAAACACATACATTAAATTAAATGAAGAAGATAAAATGAAACTGAAAACCTGCACAAAATCAATAAAAATTAAACTCTGCTGGGTGGAAACTGGAAGAATCAAAGTGTTGGACAAGATCAAAAGTACTCAGAAGAAACAAATATGGTATTCTAAAAAAACCCCACATTTTCAATTTACCTTTCCATACTTTCTCAACTGCTAGTATGCCTCAAAATCTAAAACTCCACTGCTGTTTTTTTCTTGTTTGTCATTGTTATAAAAAGCACAACCATTTACTCAGAACACTAAAATATTCCCCCATTTTTTTCTATCAAGCACAACTGTTCAATGCATATCATATGTTGAAACTCTGCTACAAAAGACTTATGAGAAACAAATTCAGTGAATAAAGGCACGGAAACGAAAACTTAACTGTGTCATTGTTATCATAAGATAGGCCAGCTTTGTCAAATGGCATTTCTGAGCTGTCCAAAACACTCTGAAATTCAGTGAGAGGACACAGGAAAAGTGTACCTATGCAGAAGTCCATCATATCTTCTTGGCTTTCAGTCTTGGGAGGAAAACCAACATACAGGTAGGGACTACAATATGGTTTAGTTCAATAGGTCTGTAGTTAGCAGTCAGCCAGTGGAGGAATCATAGAGTGTCCATGCAGATACCTAAATGTGTACTTTCTATTGTGGAATACGATCTTAAGTACGCATCACATTTCCCGGACGGTTTTGAACTGGAGAGAAGGTTTAGCATTGAAGGACACAACATTGGACAGAGAATTTCAGCAACACAGAAGCAGGAATTCTACTCAAGTCCTTCAGTTTCTACAACAAAAATAGATATTGAAACATCTGCCATCAGGGCCTTTCCAACTGCTTTCTGGGAAGTCACACCTGAATCTGAATTGAGAGGAAAAATGGACTGGTAAAAAAAAAAAAAAAAGGTGTGAAGCACAATGACGCCTCATCCAGCTTTTGTCTTCAAATAATTGAAGAGACAATGGTTAGACTCCAAAATTATTTCTCAGCCAAGGTAGGCAATATACTTCTCCAGGTTTTTTTTTCTGCCTGTACCATTTTGGAAGTGATAGGAATATCCATTAATTCCTTCAGGCCTTCTTTCTACATTAGTTTATCGAGCCCCAGCGACAAGCAACCACATTTGGCATGAAACTAGACTCTAAGCCCTAAATATCACATATAAGCATGGAAGATTTTAAAGAAAAAGAGAGTTGACAAGCAAATGCCTAAAGTGCCTGTGTAAATGGCACACTGTTTGTAGTTTTGTGAAGCAGAGCATCTTGGTGTTTGAAACTATATCCTTAAAGGCAAAGCTTTTGAAGAATTTTTTTTTTTTTTTTTTTGGCTTCGGTTTCCCCCAAGCTATGCCCACATGAGCTAGTTAATCATATGTATACTTGTATGAATACATTCTGTGTGAACTAATGAATTTCTTAGGAAAGCGGGTATTTTCTGAGCACGTGTGTAAGTTACTGTCTGTAACAGGACCTAACTAAAGTGAAACAATCCTCACAAGAACACACACACAAACCTCAAAGACTCCAGAGCTAATGGCAAAGCCCTGGGAAAACAAAAGAGGACACTCAGCCACATTAACTCAGATAATTTGACCTGGCTTTGTTGTGCAGAGGTCAGATAAGTGCCATTTTCCTTCTAATTGTGGTAGTTTCATGCATTTGTAGTATCAATTGGCTGAAGAGTATAAATACTGCTTTCATTTTCAATTTATTAAGAGAAATGTCTTTTCATAGCTTAGAAATCACCACAGAGGTGTAAAACTTCAAACATTATCAGATATAATGAACCACCACCTAGAAATAAAGGTAACTAGACAAGATATACCAAACAGGAACAGACAGCTCTCTTACTATTTTCTACCAACATAGGCCACTGGTTGCCTACAACTATCACAGCGTTAGCACAATTGATCTAGACTGTGTTGTGATACTCACCTCACACGAGGTACCACCATACCCTGGGGGACAGTCACATAACTCCACTGCAGACGCCACCTTTGTCCCAGTTGAAGTGTGGTCAGCAGCTTCAATGCTAACGCTTCTTAGTCTGGATGTAACAGAAATGAAACAGTTAAAATAGCAAATTAGATGGAAGTATATGTGCAGCTGGATGCAACAAGCAGTATATAGTGACATTCAGTGGCTTGTTTATGTTTTCCTGTTTAAAAATAAGGAGGTTTTCATATTAATCTATTTCTTCCTAAACTACATATCTGTAAGCTTGTTACTATTTTTGCCCATCATGTGAGGGAGAGTATGGTCAGACACACATTGATAAAAACAGATTAAAAAAGTCTCACAGCACGGTACCAGTAGATGGAAGGCTATTCCTGACCTGCAAGCCATATGTGCCAGCTTGCATTGCAGCTATATATATAGCAAATTTGACACTAAGCAGTGTCCTCAAAATTTACAAACCACTACTCCAGCTTTCTAAAATATTACGTTACTAAGTTTTGGTTGTAGGGTATTTTTATTCTGGAGATTTGACCTCTGAAAAAGATTTCACCTCTGTCCAGGAGGATCTAAGTATTATGTGTATGAAAGAAAAAGGTATGTACACGAAAGAAAAAGGAAATCTTCTACTGTATACCTTGGTTTCACCAATGACATAGACAGAGTTGGAGAATTTTCTGTTTCATGCAGAAGTGCCCCTAAAAATAAATGCTACACGTGGGCTAAACAGCCATTGTTTGGCCAAACACTGAATGTGATTTTTATTTAAAAAAACATGGACGTATGATGAGAGAGACAACAAAAATCTGGTGATAATCTTACAGGTAATATGCAAAACAGATGTAGTTTACCTCAACAGTATCCATTTGGGGAAAGGAATTGGGATTTGGGGATTTAATTCTTATAAGAATGCAGAAGGAACATTAAGGCGTTATAGAGGCTCAATGACTTCTATTTTCACCCATCAATCTTAACAGAGTGTTTGATTACTAGAGCTACCTGAAAAGTAGACTTCTTTTGAAGTCTTTTTCAGCAGAAAATACCCTTCTGTCATGACATGCATTTTGTTAAAAAATAATTAATTTTCTTTGGAAAATGTAAGACAAACTTTTTTTTTTTTTTTTTCCCATACTAAGGCATTTATCTTTTGGCTGCCAAAAAATCCTGAAAATTATTTGGATGACCTTGCATAAGAAAACATCCAAGAAAAATATTTTGTTGTTACTGCAGTTGTTGGAGGAAAGGTTAAGACAGGCTATTTTCCCACTCAATTTGATGACTACTCTCAATAAGACAGACATGAAAGTTAAGTGAAAAAAAGGAAAGATTTCTGAAATTAGGATGGGAGCTTCAGAAAACCAGAAATTTTACTATTGCTAGGGGTATGACTGGACTTTGGAGGGACTACCATTGCTGATTGTGTAGTTACAAACTTGAATCTAATTTGATGATACCAGAACCTCAGTAAAACGTTCTTGAAACTATTTTAAAAGATGGGTGCATGTTCCTATTCAGATCTTCAGTAAGATCTCTCACACTTTTCAATATTTCCCCGTTCACTCCACTGCTGCTTGCTTATTTTGCAGTCATTCTTTTGAGTTTTCCTTACAATAAGATAACCAATCTCTAGGGTATTAGATGGTGATTACTTTAACAGTAAAAAATCTTACAATTTAAGGAGAAAAATCTGTAGATGAAGAAACAAGTTAGTAGTGAAAGGCCAAGTTTTATTTATCATTTGAACTACAGCTAGTTGCCTCTCAGCCTAGATCCTGGAACAAAGAGAAGCACTTACACACAGCAACAATCTGCCCGGTATTATCCCACATTTGTATTCACGGAATTGTTCCAATTTTCATTACATTCTGCTATTTGCTAAATGGGATTTTAATGTGTTTAACAGTTTTTAGCATTAACAGTTACTCAGTGAAGAAAGCTGCAGTGATTTTTTTTCTCTCATTTTGATGTTGCAATTTTGATTCCTCGATGTCATTCTGCATTCATTAAAATACATAATGCTGGCAGTAATGGGGCACTGGATCCTGGAGATGCATGAACAATTTGAGATTCGACATCGAGACCAAATATTTAAGCTGACTGTTACTGTCAGCAGGCAACTGTTGACTTCTAAAAACAAACAAGATTAAAAGGGATGGGGACGTTTCAGGCAGTATCAGCATAGTTTACTGTCTGCTATGCAAGGCATCTGAATCGCATCAGCTACATAAGGCACGTGAAGTACTGACCCAATCATTGCTGTCTTGAAACCAATCTGCCTTGAAAACAATTCTGCATATGGAAGAAAGCCCTTCGCCTTTCCTTCCTTCTTTCTTTTTGCATCTAGCACTGATTCCATATGTGGTTGCAAGCAATCCACTGTCCTTAGTACCACAATTTCCGATGCTCATCTAAGTGTCTAAAATACTTACCGCCACTGGCCACTCTGAATATTAAAACTGAAGAAACAGTGCTGCTAAACTTTCTTTGAAGCACAAGCTAACAATATTAGATTAAACAAAATTATAAAAGAGAGCTGTCTTTTCCTGGCCTGTTGCTTCTACCACAGATGGACTTAACGGCAACCATTTGGATGACCTGTCAAGTCAGAGCAGGATCTCAATTTAAACCCAGAAGCTGTAATCACTTTTAAATTGATTGCTGCATTTCTGTGTTCTCATTTTTTTATCCTACTTGATCAACTAAATGAAATCCCACTCACTTGAGAAAACTTCCTGATTATGCCATAGAGCAATAACAACATTCTAAGCTTAAAATGACACAAAAAATATTCTCAGAAATGTGCTCAAGTCAAACTCACCATTACTGCATTAATATTGTTTAATAACTGCTTGAAAGTGTTACTGATTAACTAATGTTTCTAGTAGGTTAAACTAAGAAAGGGTGAAAAATATAATCGTTAAGTCAAAGCTCTTGCTAAGTGGAGACAACTCCACTGATCTTTTAAATCTCTTTCTACATGACTGAAAGAAAGTTGCTTAATCTTACAATGTCTCCATTCTGGTCTCTTCTCAAGCACAGATTATAACAGCACCCTTGGAAATCCTTACACATGTGGTGTCATTATCCATTTTGAAAATTTTCAGTATTTAAATGAACAGGTTGCTTAATATAGCAATCTCTAATTAGTATGTTGCATAATTCTGCTGATGCTTTGAGGCAGAAATTGTCATTCATGAAGGACCTAATAACCCTGTAATATTTCTGTCTCTCTGCCAGACCCTCTTTGCTCTCTCAGAGGAATATCCATCTGTCCACCACACATACCTGTTTAAAAGACAATAAAAAACCCTTAGTTCATATCTACTTATCTACTAAGGCTTAGCTCCACACTATTTTTCTGGCAAAAAATGTCTTCCTTTGAAGCCCATCAACAGTAGTCCTTAATCAGCCCAAGATATCACAAAGAATATCCTCTTCACTGAGTCTGGACATTTTCCCTGTAGTATTAAAGGGGCAGAATATGGAGAAAAGAGTTGTTTTGCGTCATCTTAGAGTTAAGAGCACAGCTTTGCACCTAGTCAGTTTTAGCATGAGTGAAAATCAAAGAGAATATAAAAAAGTCAGAGCTGAGGCATACCCTGAAAAACAGCAATATGCCTACAACAACAGACCATAAACTGGGCTGGATGACAGCAGATACTGTTGCTGCTACATCATGTGACCATGAGCACGCACTGTTCTGAAATTTAACTCCGCCTAATAAATCTCACCCTGATAGTTGAAACTAGATTCCTCCAGTTAAATCAAACATGAAAAACCCAATTCAGCTAATTGTGATAGGAATTTCACACCCTCTCTTCTGTCACACTAAACTGCAGTGAGCACCCTGACAGCACTCAATAAAATGTGTTTAGTTTAGAGCAAACTATTTTCAGAGACTTCTGGACATGCTGATGTTAATCCCAGCAATACAGTAACCATGGCATTCTTCTCTGGCAAGAGACATCATAGGGACTGCTAGAGATGTACCAGTAATATAAAACCATTTCTAGAAAAAAAGATACTCTTCAAAATTACTTCAGTCCCTTCCCCTAACCCCCTTTTAAATCACTGTCTTTAAGGGACCAATCTTCCTACTTGTAATGTCACTCCATCTACAAGATGGTGCCTACTAACCTGCAAAGCATAAATGGTATGTTTGTCCCATAGCTCTTCCTGAAGAATGTTCCCAAGACATGTTTTTGGAAAGTTATCTATAAGATGCCACTAAAATGTTCCAAGGGCTGAATATGAGCAAGAGTACACAACAGTGAGGCCTCACACATGGCCAAATAGCTTAAGCAGTAATCTGGGATGCAGACGGCGATGCATAGTCTTCCAAATGTGCCACTGACAGGTCTGCCACTTCGTACTTAGAAGTCACAAACTATAGCCTGTGCAGTTCTGCATGTGCGTGCTGACCTGAGCTCTAAGTTGTCACCCAGAGGGCATCTGATCCATCCCACCCCCACTGTTCCACAGTAGAGGCAAGATGGAGCCAGCACATGTCCAGCAAAGCACTTTCTTCACAGATTTTAACTGCCAAGACAAAGTGGTTTTTGCAGGAAAGGTCTCCGTCTCATTCTAGTGCAAGTGTCAGTACACAAATGTATATAAACCACTGGTAGCTGAAATTTGCATTTCCCATAATACTTAGTTAAAACCTTTGCCCCAAACAAAGACAATTATACATATCTCCTTTAAAGCAGCACAGCATAAAAGCCCCTATTGTTCAGCCCAAAATTGCTCCTGCACTCTTTTAATCTGGAAAATTCTGGCTAATTTTTTAATTTTATTTTACTTGAATGGGAACAGAGTGGAGGAAAAGCACTGACTGAGCTCTCACTAATCTCAGCTGTAAGCTGTGGATTAATAGCTTCTCATGGTCTGCTCATAGCGCATAAGGGAAGAGCTCTGGCCTGGTGGTTTGACTCTCCTCTAACACCAGGGTGGGAAGGTGGTGGGCAATGAAAGGTTTTCAAACTGGATGCAGGGCAATGCCAGATTGATGACCAAGTGAGCAGATTAGGAAACAGTTTGGCTTAAACTCAAGCTAGTTATGATTCACAAACTTATTTACAGAGAGGTAATATATACTAATTAACCACAGAAAGAGATTGAAGAAATATGAATTTCTTGCAGGGAAAAAATGTACACTGCCAAAGCTCAAATCAGAAAACAGTATGCTGTTGACACAACCTGCCTTTCAATTTAGGATGTATTTTAATTACCTAAGTATTCGAATGATGGTTGGATTGCTTAAGAAATTTCACAGTAGCAAAAACTGTGTCTATGCTCGCAGCAAATAATCTCTAATGTGCTATCAGCTCCCTCCATTCCAAATTGGCTTACGCTGCTGAATCCAGTGATGTGTAGGTTAGAGAACATTTCAGGTTTCATGCCTTGTGAGTAGAAAACTACTATGCAATCAATTCCATTGCACATTTGAAAAATATTATTTATGCCACGTAACTATCAATGTATAGTCAGAGTGCAATCATATACTATCAGGAGAGAGGCTGTCTTGTAGCCCACCTGGAATATTTGCTCATGCACTTGGGAAAATTTAAAATGCAAGAGGAGCTTTACAGGTTCAACCACACTGCAGCCAGTGAGATAGAACTGTGTCATCTCACATAACGTCTTTCATTTTATCAGAAGACTTGGAAGGGTTCATATGAAATCAGTGGTTTTAAGCAGTCCAGACAGCAACATGACATAAACCAAGCGAAAGGCTTTGGGATTACCCATTTCTGTGTGTGGTACTGATTAAAAACATAGAAAATTACCCTCAAGCCACTTTTCCAGCTTAGAGACTTAGGATATTATTCTCTGGTCCGCTGTTAATGTGGTCCAGTATGCTCATTAAATGGGGAAAACAATCTATAAGCAATATATCAACTCTTTCTTCCACATGTCATTACTGCACTCCATGATTTACCATATACATGGAAATTACAGTGTTCACAAAATAAACATACAGATAGAACTGTCATTCATGCCTTAATAGTCCACGTGATTTCATTTTCTTGCAAGGCTGCTTCTTTCTGTTGTCTCTCCTCCTGCCTACCCAAAATGAAAAAATGCTAACAAATGTTTGAAAGTGTAAATGAATGCTATGGATTTCATGATAATAAATTAGTGTGTTTTAAATTACATCAGCTTAATTCTCTGAACATAGAAAACAAGTATTTTGAGATGCTGCCTGTGGCAAAGGGACACGTTTCCCACATTCACCTGTAGATGGCATTCATCCCATAGCTGTACGTGGCTCTTAAGAGGATCCTCTTCACATTTGCAAGGATAGTCATGAACTCCCTCCTGCTGACTGGAACATCAGTGCCATATACAAAGAAAGATTCTGGTTTCAGCACAATTTCTTCAGTGTGCTCTTCAGAAGGCTGCAGGTGAATCCCCTCTTTTGGAGTGCTGATTCTCAAGTCACCTCCCTGGATAGAGCCATGAGAGAGAGACATTTAAATTTGAAAAAAGTCAGGAAAAAAGCTCTATCTGTAGCCAGCTGGGGTATGAGATTTATTGAATAATATATTTTACAAGAATAATAAATATCAGGAATAACATTCACCTTTCATAACCCTGAAATGGGCTTTGTAAAAACAAAAGCAAATTCATACAATGCACAAAAACAGGTCTGAAAGAATGTGGAAGTGTTACCTCGAACAAACATTTTATTTCATAGAATAATAGAATGGTTAGAGTTGGAAGACCATCTAGTTCCAGCTCCACTGCCATGGGCAGGGACAGCTTCCACTAGACCAGGCTGCTCAAAGCCCCATCCAACCTAGCCTTGAACACCTCCAGGGATGGGGCATCCACAACTTCTCTCAGCAACCTGTTCCAGTGCCTCACCACTCTCACAGCAAAGAATTGCTTCTAACATCTAATCTAAATCTGCCCTCTTCCAGTTTAAAACCATTACTTCTCATCCTAGCACTACACTCCCTGATAAAGAATCCCTCCCCGGCTTTCCTGGACGCCCCCTTTAGGTACTGGAAGGCTGCAAGAAGGTCTCCCTTGAGCCTTCTCCAGGATGACCAACCCCAACTCTCTCAGCCTGTCTTCATAGGAGAGGCGAGCCAGCTATCTCATCATCTTTGTGGCCCTCCTCTGGACTCACTCCAACGGGTCCATGTTCTTCTTATGTTTGGGGCTCCAGAGCTGGACTCAGTACTCCAGGTGGGGTCTCACCAGAGCGGAGCAGAGGGGCTGAATCACCTCCCTTGACGTGCTGGCCATGCTGCTTTTGATGCAGCCCAGGATACGGTTGGCTTTCTGGGCTCTAAGTACACATTGCTGGGTCATGTTGAGCTGCTTCTTATGCACCAACATCCCCAAGTCCTTCTCCTCGGGGCTACTCTCAAGCCATTCCCTGCCCAGCCTCTCTTTGGGCTTGGGATTGCCCCAACCCATGTGCAGGACCTTGCACTTTGCCTTGTTGAGCTTCATGAGGTTTGTGTGGGCCCACCTCTCAAGCCTGTCCAGGTCCCTCTGAATGGCACCCCTTCCCTCCAGCGTGTTGACCACACCACATAGTCTGGTGGTGTCGGCAAACTTGCTGAGAGTGCACTCAATCCCCCTGTCCATGTCGCCAACAAAGATGTTAAACAGCACCGGTCCCAATACCAACCCCTGAGGGATGCTACTCGTCACTGCTCACCACTTGGACATCGACCCACCGACCATAACTCTTTGAGTGCAGCCATCCAGCCAATTCCTTGCCCACTGAGTGGTCCACCTGTCAAATTCATTTGTCTCTAAATTAGAGACAATGATTTCTTCATTATTCCTGATAAACAGGAATAATATAGTTTTGTAAGCTCCTGCAATATTGCCAGAAGCTCCTTGAGATACTGAAGATTTTAGTTCTCTAAAATGCGTCCATTTTCTGATACTATAAATTAGCTGAAAGTACGTTGACCCTGCTATTTTGTGTCCTCAGCCACCAGGCTTCATGCTGAACATTTGAAGAAGTAGGCAATTTTCTTTCTTTTTATTTTGTTGGTAGCTGAAAATACAATCACTTTACCTCTATGATGACATCAGATTGAACCATCAATTGAACTGTCTCTTCTTCCTCTGTGAAGTCATAGAAGACTGTAAATTTCAGATATCCTCCAGCCACTGCTACCTGGGGAGAAAAAAAGACAGAAGAAAACCAATTAATTTAAAGAAAACAGGCCTTAACCATTTGGAGGCAGTTTTCTCCAGCGTCAGCATTTCCCAGAAAGAGACTTCTAGTGTTGCAAAACCGTATGCAGATACCTGGGGTTTACAACTCTATGGACCATTCCCTTCTTGCTCAACCATCTAGAAATTACGCTTAGTCATTTTTCTTCTATGCCTGTTGAAGGCTGCAAATTCCTTAAACACATGGACAAACAAAGTAACCAGAAACAGATCTGAAATCTATGCAAATTTCCACTTGATGCTGACATTAGATTTTCAGTGTATTTCAGTTATATGGTCCTCATTTAGGCTGGGTATCTACATCAGCAGCCTTAGCAATCTTTAGAAGATTCAATAGTTTCAATTTTGTTGATGGGGCAAACTACCAAAAAAGAAAAATGCCCAGTGATGTTTTTCTTAGAATGAACTGTAACCTAAAATCAAGTAAGAATTTTTCCTCATGGAGTCAAATAAATTTACTTTAAAAGAATGCTCCAGCCCTTTCTCTCTGGTTGACTCAGCCTTCAATGTGGGAAGTCAATAACCAGACTCTTGTGTCATACCAATATATTATTTCTGTGCTCTTTTAGCCCCCAAAACCATGACACTGACACTAGCTTTTCCCTGAAAAAATGGAAAAAGTAGATCAGTTTTAGGATGCAAATCAAAAGCTGCAGAGTTGAATGACAGAGTTCAGTACAAAACCAGTGCCTTTTGTTAATTGTTTGGAAGCAGAATAAGTAAATCAGAGCTTTTAAGAGCTACAGTTTAGGTTTTAAATGCATCTGCCTCATACTTCAGCACAATGTGAGCCTCCTCTCAGAGACTAGTAAAGCCATAGGGATCCTTTTGCCCTTCCAGTGCATACTGCTGACCACAGAGCAAACTCATGAGTCTTCTACAAGGAGAATAATCTGGTTATTCTCAAGGACATAATGTACTATCTCTTGTTGATCATACTAGATGGTTTTGCACACAGTAACAGAAACTACTGAAAGTCATCAACTTCATTAGTTTATGATGCATCTAATTTAAGGGGAGAAAAACGTCCCAGTATTTAAGGCATGGAAATACACTGATTGTGAATTATCCATGAATGTATAAAAATCCATAAACTGCATCTGAGGCTTTACAGCTAATTGCTAGGTTAAAGCCAGAAAATTCACTCCAATTCATAACCCAAAGCTTGGATCATAGAATCATAAGATCATAGAATCATAGAATATCTCAAGTTGGAAGAAACCCATACGGATCATCAAGTACAACTCCCTGCTCCTTGCAGGACTACCTAAAACTAAACCACATGACTAAGAGCATTGTCCAGATGCTCCTTGAACTCTGACAGGTTTGGTGCCGTGACCGCTTCTCTGGGGAGCCTGTTCCAGTGACTGACCTTAGTGAAGAACCTTTTCCTAACATCCAGTCTGAACTTCCCCTGATGCAGCTTCATTCCATTTCCTTGTGTCCTATCACTGGTCGCCAGAGGGAAGAGATCAGCACCTTCCTCTCTAACGATTCCCCCCTGAGGAAGTTGTAGACTGCGATAAGGTCATCCCTCAGCTTTCTCTTCTCCAAGATGAACAAACCAAGTGACCTCAGCCATTCCTCGTAAGACTTGCCCTCAAGACTTTTCACTATCTTAATGGCCCTTCTCCGGACACACATGAATAATTTGATGTCCTTATATTGAAGTGCCCAAAACTGTACACAGTACTCAAGGTGGGGCCACACCAGTGTAAAGTGGAACAATCACCTCCCTTCATCCCTCAGTTATGCTGTGCTTGACGTACCCCAGGACACAGTTGCCCCTAGGGCACACTGTTGACTCGTATTCAACTTGCCATCAACCCAGACCCCCAGATCTCTTTCCATGGGCTGCTCTCCAGCCTCTCGTTCTCCAATTTGTATGTATAAACAGGATTAACTCATCCCAGAAGCAGAATCTGGCACTTGCTCTTGTTAAAAATTTGATACAGTTGGTGATTGCCCATCTCTCTAGTCCGTCCATATCCCTTTGTAAGGCCTCTCTACCCTTGAGGGAGTCCACAGTTCCTCCTAGTTTGTAACATCAGCAAACATCGGCATGGGATGTTTATCTACATAGTATCCAAACCTGTTAGGACCAATGCTACTACATTCAGCTTTGACTGTAACAACATGAAAAGACTTTTTTTTCCTTAGACACACCTTTTACAGAATTTTTGTTTTGCCTGTGGTCAGGGCTAAACACTGGTTTATAACTGCAAGAGGAATGTAGAAAATTTAGGTAACTAAAATACTGCAAGAAGTACCCAGATTTGCTTTCAGTTTTAGACAAACATTTTAAAACAGTTACTTTTGCAGAACTTTACCATTTCTGTCTCAAGTTCAGACTAAGTACAAGGCTTCAAGTAAAAATAACGGGGAAACAAAGATTGTGTGGTGTCAGGCAACCTATAAAAAATATTTACCAAGACAGGTTTTATTTTTTCCCAACTACATAACCTTTACCTTAGTAAATGAAAATCCAACACGGGGAATTGGTAGATCATACAGAAAAAGAAAAAAAAAAAAAAAAAAAGAAAGGAAAAGTTCTGATTTAAAATAAATGCATATGGAAAAGTAGTTAACAATGTAAATTTTGACCAAAAATCAGTTACAAAGGAGTGGACAAACAGATAATAGTTTAGAGAAAGCAACCAGAATGGATTAGAGAGTTTTAAAATATAACCAACAGGAAACACTAGAGGAAAGGGTTGGGTTTGACTAGTCCAGAAAAGAGAATGTTAAGAGGGAAAAGGAAAATAGTTTACCAAAACATAAAAGAGTGGGAAAATGAAATGGCCATTTTTATTTTCCTGTGGCAACTGCAGGGAAGGCATGAAGATTCAGCTTGAGTATACAGAAAGCCTTCTGACTAAGGATGGTCAAAACAGCATCAAGCTGCTTGAAAATGCTATTGAATTCCTTCATTAAATGTTTAACAGCAGCTCAAACATGTCAGAGATACTCTAGGTATGATGCGTAAGAGTTGGAATGGGACTAAGAAGTCTCTTGAGGTCTCTGCTAGCCACAGCAGTCTGAGTTTCCTGGCTGCAACTGCAAAGATTTGCATATCACAAACAGGATCGCACATTGAAGTCAGGGTCCCAAAATGACACTTATTGGAGACAGTATCTGGTAGTTCAGAATATATATATACCTTGCGAGCTGCATAATACCAATGTAGATTAGAAACAAAATATATATAAAACAAGAAAGTACTACTTCCTTCTGCCATTGTTTATAAAGCTAATTTCCTTCCTCTGTATATTTAAAGTACAAGTTCACTCACAGGCAAAAGAATTCAGAGGTCAATCTATGTGCTGCAGGAACAATTATGTCTCATCTAGTGCAAAAAATACTTTACACTGAATTTTGAATACAAGGGCACCTATGAGATCCCTCCATTTTGGCGTTGTTCTCTGTATCACCCAAAGATTCAGAGTTCTGCCTCAAGGATTGTCATCTGAGGCCATATCCTGCACCAAAGAGAACAGAGCATAAAAGTTCGCCTCGCTGGCGACAAAGGCATGCATTGTAAAGACAAGAATAACTGACTAAAAAGTCAAGAAAGTTCCACAGAATTTACTTTATCTCTCCCACCTGTTTTGAGATTAACACATCAAATATTTCTTCCCAGCTCAGAAGGCAGAATCCATGTATTCAAGAAAAGTCACAGTCTCCCCAAGAAATTAAAGTATAGGAGAGGGAAATCACAGCTATCTTAATTCTAATCCACCAAGTTTCTGGCAGATATTTATTTCGGTTGTTCACGGTTAACTGTACTTCTACTATTATGTTACATGTTGTTAAAGGATATAACCAGAGAGCAGACAAGATTGGTGACGACATCCTGACAGTTGCATTCTGGGTCAGTCAAAGCCCTCTGAAGCAGGAGAGACAGCTCCTTTCCTGTGAACAAACAGCTGTGCTCATCGGGAAGAAAGCCAGAGGGTAGGAGGAAGCACTCAGTACTACCTTGTGTAAGGCGTGCTTTGTTGTTGTGCCTGTCACACTAAAATCACTTTCAAATCAAGACAAATAATAGTAAACCACAAATATTTACAGCATTGAAAACAAACAGCATTGCTACAAATATCTGCAAAGCCATAGATGAGGAAAGCTTGCATCTCTTTGTATGGAAATAAAATTCTTTCTCCTCCTCCACTGAGTCAGTCTGCTGTCAATGCTTTTCTGAGGGAAGCTGTCAGGATCTCTCCTCCTAGTGTCATTGGAGAGTACCTCTTCCTTATACAGCTTTCATAACCCATCTTATTCTTGATTCATTTGGTGATTCACACTTTCCCCCTCCAATGCCTCTTGTAACTCTGCCTGCAAAGTTTTAGCACTTACTACACTAGAGGCTGCCTCATTTCTTCTGAACTACATCTGCCAAATGTAACTTCAGAAGATCAGGAGCTACCTCCACTAAATAGGGTGCTGTTTACAATCCCTTACCTCATTGAGCAGTAAAATGCTCTTCTGTCAGCTAGGAAGAGACCAGACTGTGATTAAAGCATCTAAATATAGGTGCCTGTTTGTGAATTAGATGAGCATGACCCTCCTGAGTAGAAGCCAGATGGAATATACCGGGGCATCTGATACGGCACCATGTGGCTACAGGTAGACAACTGAAATAAGTCCTTTGCACAGTCAAAGAAATCTAGAAAGTGGCTGGTCTGTGGCTTCCCCATCGATGGATGACTTTCTAATAACTTCACTTTGTAATTATATTTTAAAAATAACTTGGAAGACATAAAATACATTTCATTAATGAATAAAGTATTGCACAGTAAGTGTATTATTGAAATAAAAGACATGCACCTTGCTCATACGTTTAGTAGCAAAATCTACATAATAAAAGCATAATAAAAAGCATCAACAAATATCAAGAAGTTGGACAATCTTTTCCATCTTCACTGTTAGTGGTTCTTGCAAAGA